ACTTCTTGCAATTGGTACATTTCGCATTCTTGGTACGACCTCTAAGTGCTTTTCGGATTTCCCTATTCCGGCACAAGATAATCTATTCCAAACCATATTCCGGCACAAGATAATCTATTCCAAAGATCAAAAGAATAACGTCAAATCTTATCTATTTGCATCCAGTTCGGATAAAATATATAATAGAATTAAGATATCACATGTTGTATTTTTCAAATAATATTATGAAATCTATGGTCGTAATAACACTTACTCTTGATTTGATATATCTGAGCATTTTCAGTTCTAAGATGCACGTGCGCCATGGTAATTTCTAGAATCGTCACTCGTGCGGATGATAAATCTACGCTCTTTACAAAATATAGAGCAGCACAAAAATTAATTTCGATGAGTTGTTTGACGTATTCATTTTAGATATGTCTTTAATATACCACAACAAGCTAGTTCTCACGGGTAGAACCTCTATACCCTCTAGATTAATTACCCAAATGTTCACGTAAAAATATTTTTACCACACATTAAATAAATTTCAAGTACTAATCAGTTAATTTATTTTTGCATAATGATAGTTAAACATGAAGTAATTATTTGATTTCGAGAATCCGGACTCAAATCCAACGATGTTAAACACTCATTTTTTAAAATTGAAATATATTCAACACAATAAAAAATCTATCAAATTAATTATATTATTTAGCCCTATATATATATATATATATTTCAATATCAAAGAAACTCATCTAAAATGTGCTGATATAAACAACTTCTTGATCATCACCATTTTATTATATATATATATACATAAATTTTAATAAGTTGTTGATAAGAATGAAGTATAATAAAAAGCAATTGGGCTTTAAATAATGCATCACATTTATGTATTTATATGTGTGTATATATGCAAAAATTATACCTAATACACAAATTTTAATATGCATAGGGATAAACCCATTCCATTGTACACGAGAACTTAAGATTTATTTATATTAGAGAGGGCAAAAACTAACCTGACATAAGATAATTTAATTTGGGTAAAGAATTTCAATTTAACTATGTGTACGAGTCAATACGAATTCGATACAATAATAATAAATTAGGTTAGGGTTAATGTTTTCAACTCGAACCCGACATGACAACTCAATTATAATATAGTAGTATTAATTCTAATTTGATAATTAACTCACATATTAATTTAAATTAAGTTCAATCTTAAATAATTCACTTAATTCACTAAACACATTACATGAGAACTGACACAAATTAATATTAATCATACACAAAATAATTTGGTTTGGATCAAGAATTTTGAGCCAATTATATATATGGGTAGTAAACGGGTGGAGTTAAGATTAAATGATTTTAACCATTTAAAATATTGAATTCGACATGAGCCCGACACAAATAGTCTAATTTTTATATGAGAAAAAAAAAAACTAAATACTTAATGCAATATATATATATATATTTGTAAAAAAATGTATTTTATATAATATTTTTAAAAAATGTATTTATTAATTAATAGCACCTAAACATAAAAAATTATGTATATAAATAGAGTCATAATATTTAAACATCAGCTTAACACCTACTAACTAAAAAAGGAATAAAACTAAGATAGTCAACAATCTTGATCTAGAAGGTGCGATAATTTAATTTTGAATTTGGATTCTATCCTTTTAACAATGTAATTTTAATTTATTCTACTTAATTACTATTATTAGATAAAAAATATTAAATAAATTAATAAGATTCCATACATTTTAGATGTGTGCTGACAATTTTCAATATAAAAAATACATGATCATGATCGGATTCCTTCAATTTAATAATCGGGACATGTTAGGGATAAATAAGACCAATTAAATTATGCTTAAGTAAGGCACGACAGCAATTTTGTCTAATACATAGTCAAACATATATATATATATATATATATATATTATATTTTGGGGTGGATCAGGTGCTGATTTGACTATATCAACATATATTATCAACGGATACATGTAACAACATGTTGTATTATATTATAAATATGCTGTAATAGTGTGACTTATCTGTCGGGCTTAGTTTGCAGGGTATTAGGTTCGATCGGGAGTTTATCCGTGAACACCTTCGGATAGCGACTGCGAATTTTCTTGTCATAAAAAAAATAAAAATACTATAATAGTATATAATATATAATGATTACATTTATGTGATATACTAACTTGATCAAATCAGCACTGATTAATTCACCGCTAAATCCGCAGCCTTATATTTTATATACATAGGCGGCTATTATAATGTTTGCTGGGATTAATCAGTATTGTACAAATATCATATAAAATATAATGTAAATTAATTGAAAACATGTTAAAATGATATAAATTTAATTGAATCATACTAAATATAATATATATATATATATAACTATTAAGTATTATATGTATATATAGGCTAAGAGTAAGCTGCTGACTCATTTTCTATTCAATTATTGATACGACTCGTTCTGGTCTCATAATTAATTGAATTAATAAAAAAAATTAAAACTAGTTAATTAAGTTAATATTTTTCTTATAATTTCTCGAAAATTAATTATGAATCATATCTACAAATTTAATTAAAGGGATGAAAATAAGTGCGCGATAATTGGATTTAAATAAATAGGTCTAGTTTGGCCAGCCAACTATTTAGAAGATTCCCAATAATTGAATTTATATAAAGAAGGTAGAATCATATTAAAATTTTATTTTATCACTCCCTCCCTCCCTCCCATAAAACATGACTTGTTCAATATGATGTAAAAAATTAAATTATTTTTATTTTTTTTTAAGGATTTTAAAAAGTAGATTTGAGTAATAATCACGGGATAAATGTGAAAAGCTAAAAATAATTTTATTGTAAAATAGGATCACGGTTACTAAATAAAAAAATAGAACAATTATTTTGAAAAAAAAAATAAAAAATAAAATAATTCTTTTGGAACGGAGAAAATATTATTTTATTTTATTAAAAATACTATTTTTTACTCAATCCCTTACAAAATTTACATGCTTCTATTTTAGGACGTCCAATTACAAAGTTTACATTTCATTAAATACCCTACTTTTTCTACAAATACCTTTACTTTACATCGCATCATTACTTTTACACAAAAAATAAGGCAAAAATGTCATTACACTACTTTTAACTACTCACTATAATTAAAATACTATTATTTCTTAAATACCGTACCAAAAGTAAATGTAACCCTTGTAAATGGACGGAGGGAGTATTATTTTACTAATATATTTTTAATTATATTGAGTAAAAATCATTTTTGGTCCCATTCAATATCAAAATTATCAATTTTGGTCACATTCAAAAAAGATTATCAATTTTAGTCACACTCAAATGAAAATTTATCAATTTTAGTCCCAAAATGGTTAACTGGGACTGAACACGACCGTGTTGGATGACTCAGAAGGTGACTGGGTGTCCCTGGCAGCCAACACGGCCGTGTTGGTCTCAACACGGCCATGTTGATTACCCTGTACTTCTGAACACGGCCGTGTTCCTGCCCGTGTTATGAACACAGTCATGTTCGTGCCCATGTTCTCAACACAACCATGTTCTAGGCCATGTTCAAGACCATGTTTTCAATATAATCATATTTTAGGTCATATTTATTATTATTTTCACTTTTTGGTTAAAATTATTTGATATATATATTTATAATTTAACAAAAATATTTTTTACAATTATTTTATAATATAAAAAATAATCAATTTTTAATATTTTTAAAATATATCATAAATAATTATAAATTAAAATAACTCATTAGTTTAATTAAAATTAAAATTAAAATTAAATTAAAAAATAGTGTGTAATTATTTTCCAAAAAAAATGAAAGTGACATGGGATGTGGGACGGATATAAACGGCAATGTGGACATAGTAAGTGGGACGAATGGAGTATTATTAAAAAATTATATATTAATATATTATTATTTTTATATATTTTAAGAATATTAAAAATTGATTATTTTTTATATTATAAAATAATTGTAAAAAATATTTTTGTTAAATTATAAATATATATATCAAATAATTTTAACCAAAAAGTGAAAATAATAATAAATATGACAAAATATGATTATATTGAAAATATGGTCGTCAACATGACTGTGTTGAGAACATGGACAGGAACATGGCTGTGTTCAGAACACGGGCAGGAACACGGCCGTGTTAAGAAGTGCAGGGTAATCAATACGGCCGTGTTGAGACCAACACGGCCATGTTGGCTGCGAGGGACGCCCAGTCACCTTTTGAGTCATCCAACACGGCCGTGTTCAAGACAATACGGCCGTGTTCAGTCCCAATTAACCATTTTGGGACTAAAATTGATAAATTTTCATTTGAGTGGGATCGAAATTGATAATTTTTTTTTAATGGGACCAAAATTGATAATTTTAATATTGAATGAGACAAAAAAATGATTTTTAGTCAATTATATTAGTAAATTCTTATAGCTAAATAACTATGCCATAGTAAGTGAGATATAAGAGTACAAAAAGTAGCAAATGATTTTAGAGTGGACAGAGTAAGTACAGGGACCTCTTCCACTGCCTCTCATGCAAAACGTGTCCAAATTATGAAGATAAAGCATTCATAAGTCATAACAAAATGGCAATAATTAATAGTTATAAAAAAATATGGTTTGGAAAGTATAGTGTAATATAATAATGTGTTCAACAATGTGATGATGACAATGTCAAGTGCCCTTCACCAATCAATCATCTCTTTTGAATTTAAATTTGAATGAATGAATGTAAACGTGCACACTCTCTAAACACTAAACAAAGCATCTCCAAAACCTACTATATATATATATATGTATGTATCTATATCTACTTCTATATATATACACCACATACATACACAGTTTCCACAGACACACAGAGCAAAAGAAGAAGAAGAAGAAGGCTATATATATATATATATAGATAATCGATTCTTACCAAATAAAAGGAGTTCTGATTGATGGCAAAGATACATCCTAAGGCAGAAGCAGCAGCCATGGCAGTTGAGCTTCAGACAACAACAACATCCTGTTCATCACAGAGGCCACAAGAAGCCTTCACTGTCTGGATGAAGTCCCTTGTCATAAATGGCAATGGCTGCACTGTTTTCGACTCCGCCGGCCGCCTCGTTTTCCGAGTCGATAATTACCAGACTAAATGCTGCAAAGAAGCCCTGCTCATGGATTGCACTGGTCAAGTCCTCTTCTCCATCAAAACACAGGTACTAATACTAAAAGATAAGTTTCGAAATATTTTGAAAATAGTAAAAAGTTAGAATATTTGACGCCATTTTTCTTTTTAAAAATTACTTTCATATGAATATTTCAAAAAATTTAAAAAACGTTCTAATATTTTTTCTGTCATTGAATTGTATGCTCAAATATTTAGGCATCAATTTGAATGACAGTGAATGATAATGGATACTTTTCACTTTTATAGTAAAACAAGTTTTAAAAAAAAATGACAAAGTAAACAAGAACATTTCTTGGCCACAGACCAGAAGAAAGATAAACATAAATTTAGACGATAGAAAGTCACAAAAGGAGTACAATACAATATTGTGGTGTGTGATTCTATAAGTATTGAAACTAATCGGGGCGCGCCAAATTCCGGCTTGTCTTGCAGAAGAAAGCACTTGTCAACAAAAGTTGGCGAATACACAAATGGATAGACTCGAAGAATGTCACCGAGAAAGGGGAGTGGTTTGAAGTGAGGAGAAAGTCGGGGCTTTTCAGGAGAGACATTACTTGTCATGCCACTTTAGGATGTAATAGAGGAGAAGTGACAACAATGTTGTCCATATATACCATTGAAGGGATTCGAGGAAAATCAACAGTTAAAATTCACGATGGGACCGGCCGTGTTTTAGCAGAGATGGTGCAAAAACAAGTCAAGGACGGTGTATGTTTAGGAGATGATGTGTTGTCCCTAACTGTGGAACCACACGCTGATCGATCCCTAATCATGGCTCTAGTCCTCGTCTACGCTATGATCAACCAAAAAATGTGAATTCATAGCTCACAAAAATGTTTATACGATTTTTTTAGTTTATACAATAGAAGAGAAATGAAAACATATTCGAAAAATGTATAATATAGAAGAGATTCTTACATACACACCTTTGTGTCATTATGGGCTCTTATTCGAGTTCCTAAGATTTCGTAGTTCCATAACGAGTTGTTGTCTTTCGCCTTCGACCTCTGCAAACTTTAGGCTTATTTCAGAGTATCTCCCCTGCATTTCCTTTAGCTCGCCTTCCATCGATGCATTCTTCTCCTTAAGGGAGGCTATTTCGTTTCTTAGCGCGTCGATGTCGACCATTTCATTGGAAGATAAGCTACTGCTGAAATATCGAATGCTTAGAAGGTCAGCTTTTGTGTAGTAAGAGTCAAGCGTGTAGTTCGATTAAATCGTACCTCTTTGTAGGGAATGGCGAGCGCGGATTTGCGTTGGATGATGCCTTCTGCAATGCTACAATTTTGTTGTGGAGATCCTTTTCCTTCTTGAGAAATGTATTTGTCAATGTCTCCAGCGCCGTCTCTTTCGATTTGATCTGAGTCTGTTGATCCGATAGAACTCGTTAGCATTGATCATTTCTGTAAATTATTAACTCGATGTTTAAACCGAAACAAGAGATGGATTTGCATACCTCGAGCATTTTTATTCGCTCCTTTAGACTTTCGACTTCTTTGGATCGTTGCGGAAGTAATTTATTAGACTTTGGAGGGACTTTCGCGACGTCAAGATTACCTCGCGCATTGCCATCCTTCGTCTTCTTCTTCGTGCTTTTTAGCGCATCGTCGATCTTTTTTAGATCACTAGTCAGTTGACAGACTTGTTTCCTTAGTTTCTCCTTCTCCGCCTCATTTTTCGACAGCAAACATTCGAGCTCTGTATGGCGAGTGCCAAGACTGTCCAGCTCAGACTGCAGAGTTTCGACGATGGACTCTTTTTCTTTCATGAGAGATTCCTTATTCTTTATTTCTTCACACATCTCTTCTGCTTCCTTCATTGTCGATGCAATCCTGTTTTCGAGTTCGACTCTTGCAACGTTTCCTTGCTCTGCATCGAGTTCCATTTCTTTCATCGATCGTCTCATCTTTTCTAGCTCATGCAATAAATCTTCCTTACTCCCCAATTCCTCCATGAGAATGCTATTCTTGGCTACGTGCATTTCGATCTCTTCTCTGAGGGCTAAAATATCGTCGAAGAGTGGTTTCTGAGATTCCTCAGCGTGCTTTTTCTGATCGTTCAGCTGCACCGTCATTTCTTCATTCTCTAAGCGAATGCGATCCATTTGATCCGTCATTAGCGCGACTTGATCGGAGAGTTTGCTTAACTTAGCCTCGTATTGGTCCTTGACAGATTGGTGTTCTTCAGAAATCTTTTCGAGCATTTCCTCCAACCGACGATTCTGTGATCTGAGGTCATTCGCTTCTGCCGCAGCTTTCGTTGTCAGCTTCTCGTTGGCTTCGAACGTGCACGCCATCTGTAATGAAAGCTTCCTGAATTCCTCCTGAAGACTTTCCACTGTCTCGGAGTTTTTTGCGCGCCACTTCTTCAACACTTCCTCGGCTCTCATCGCTCGCTGCTCCTGCTCTGCTTTCGACTTCATGAGATTTTCTAGATCGTCTGCAAACCCCTGTGTCTGCTTCTCGAGCTCTTCCTCTAAGAGCTTTGCTCGATCTTCGAGCTCTCTCATGGCAACCAGTGCATCCGCGTGTTCCTTTGATTGCCTTTGCAGCTCATCCTCCAGATTTTCGATATGAGTCTCTAATTCATTAGTACATTCGTATTGCATTTTGAGTTTCTCCTGAATCTGGCCCTGCTCGATCTTCGACAGCAGATTGTGATTCTCCTGCTTCACGATCTCATAGTCGAGGGCGAGCTGCTCCATTTGCATCTCGACCTCATCTTTATCTCTTTTGTAGATTTCGATTTCGCTTTGCAGGTCTGTGATCTGTTGTTCCAGAAGATTCACTTCCTTGGCTTCGCTACGTTCCTTGACGAGCTCTTCCAGCGCCCTTTGCTCATCATCATCAGATAGGCGGGATAATTTCTCATCCACATCTTTTGGTAGGTTTGACATTTCCTTATTCTTCTGTTCTATGATCTCCTCGAGGTCTTGCACGGCAAGAATCAGCTCAGAGTTCGATTCCTGCGTCTTCTGAAGCTGAATCCGAAGGTTTACGTTTAGTCCATTAATATGGTTCAATTCCTGCCTGAGTTCTTCCACCATCGCCCGAGAATTCACAGTGTCAAACGACAAACTTGTTCTTGTTTTTGATCCCTCACGCCTATGGAGGACAGCTTCAAGCTCCTCCTTCAATGCGTCGCGCTCTTCTTTCAAGCTGGCGAGCTCTCGGGAGAGATCTTGGCTGCGTTTCGTCTCCTTGACAATCTGTTTACGGAGCGTCTGCAGCTCTAGTTCCGACATCCCGGCCTGTCTGGATAGATCAGTAACTTCAGATTGCAGTTTCTTGATCATCATGTCTGATTCTTCCTCCATCTGCTGCCCTGGGAAGGTTTCAGGGGTGGATTTTCCAAGCCATTCCCATGAGCTCCTGTGCTGGTCGAACATTGTTTCCGGCGCATCATTTTTCGGCTCGTCATGTAGGTAATCAACAGGCTCTGGATGCACATTGCTGTTGCTCTTCCCCTGCATCTCCCATGGCGTTTCAAGCTCTGAGCTGCTCTCAGAACTTGACATTGTAACGTCGGATTCACTTGAGCTACGAAGATTATTAGGATTCGAATTATCCTGTCAGAAAAACAAGAGTTCACAGGTTCAGATCTATAAGAATTTCTACAAGCAGCGAAAAATAGGTAACTAAATTACTTCGACAGAGGTGCTTCTGATGGTGCCATGGCTGCCGTATTGAGTAACTTCCTTTTCTTCAACTTCTCTGTGGAAAAACACAAACAAAATGTCACACCGACATTCGTTGTCTGCTACGTTTACGAAGAACAGTAACCAAAACATTGCACACCTTCGATCGGAGCATTCATGGATTCTCTGGATCGATACCTGTTCAGGCGTGCAGCATGATTGAGCAAAATTCATCCATGGAAACAAACCAAAATACATGCAGAAAAAGGTAATCTCAACGTAGACAAGATGGATAGATGAATGGTCATGGAGGTCTTACATGTAACAGAGCATTTGTTTTTGAATGTCGAAGGGGAAGAGACACAGACGAAGCTTTCGTTGCCTCGACATAGTTTGACAAATCTATGGAAGCTTCTCCAACAACACCAACCTTAGATGAACCCTAGCAAGCAATCATTCACCAAAATTACTTGGAACCGAAGCAAGGTATGCATAAAATTTCGATTTTCAATCTAGGGATAGGTTTCTCACCGTCGTCCCAACGACGAAGTGGTAGATCCTCTCATGGACCTTGTCGGACGTTGGATCGTGAGCGAATTTCACAGTTTCGCGGAGAGGATTCTCCCATAAGCATCTTCCTTCTCGGACTAATGCTGTGTCTGATTTCGCAGTCGCCTTGCCGGTGTCGGATGGAACAATGGATACCACCAATCCATCCCCTTCGATCTGCGTTAGCTGAGTTTTAAAGCAAGAGTCATTCTCATGCACTGTGCACATGGTGAAATGGATGCAAAATTGATTGAACTAGCACGAGTGAAAATACTCTTCCATTGCTATTAAATTGATCGCCAGTGTTTGATTTGGTGTTTTTGCTACATAAATCCCCAAATCGTATTATCTAGGGTTTCGGAAACTGAATTGTTCGATCTGTCTAGAAACGCATTCGACATGGAAGTTATGAATAGAACCACAATTTAGGGAGAAGCTGAGCATTACCTGAGAGGCATGGAACTTCAGTTCGAAACTAATTTTGATTCTGTTCTTCTCGCTCCACCATCGGGCTGGTTTGAACATTTCCTCTATCTGCTCGCTCCCCGCCGCGTCCGCCGGAGCTCCGGCGACCTCAGTTGGAAACAGCCATTCCGTGCAATGCAAGGAGGATTCCGTGCATCCACCCGAAATTGGAGAGAACTCCGGCCTCCCGAGAGAAACTGATCGAGTTGGCGCTGAATTAAGTAACTCAGCAATGGATGAAGTATGGAGACAATGGTGATCTCACAGCTGTTAGAATGAGAGGAAACAGGAAAGCCAAGTCAGAAACAAGATTCTCTTTGTTCTCCGATAGCTCGAGTTCGAAACGCCATAGCTGGTCCTTCCAAGGTATCTGCAATTCCTCTTCTATATCTTGTGTACGTAATTGGCTTAAGAAGATGGGCGCATGTGAGCATTCTAGGAGCTCCCGGGATCTCAGGACTGGACTAATCTCAACCCTTCATTTAAGTACAGAACCCACATATTGAACGGTTTGGATCTCTCTAGATTAGGAGATCCAGAAGCTCCACAAAGGTGTGGTGTAACTATCCTCAATTGTAAATTATAATCACAAAATTGTCAATGTTGATTCTATTTTATTTATAAAAAAAAAAACATTTTAGCCAATGTAAATTAAAATTATATATACTTTTGTTTATAATAAACACTTGTATTAACACCAATGTAATCTTGAAATTCATATAGTATTTTATATTATGCGGTCAATTCCGTAAGAGATGATCTAGTGATTTAAGGATGAACTTGTGACCATAAGATTATTACGTAAAATCGCGACATTTATGATAATGATTTCAAACCTATGTAGAATGGAATGAAAGATATGCAAACTATAATTTATATGGTGAATTAAGTATTAACCTACCTTAAACAATATTGTGATAAAAAATAAAAAATAAAAAAATAATAATCACCCTTGTTTGTGATATTTTACTTGCTAGAAGTTACAATGTCATTTTGGTATGATACGTGGTCACTTACAATTGGCCGTAATTTTGACAATGGAATAATACCTATTTGATAATAATGATTTTTGAGCAACTTAATTGAGTGTAATTATTCCAATATATTCTGTCACAAAAATTTCACTGATTAATAAATTGACATTAATATATATATATATATATTATATTGAAGATAGTATATTTCAAGATTTGTCAAAGTATTATTGTTTAAAAGAATTTTACTTATATGTTAACAGATTTATTTATTTTTTTTAACATACACGATGGCGACATGGCGTCGTAAAATATTGTATTTTTAGTCCATAGAAGTTTTAAATAAATTATTTTACTTAAAAAATATATATATATAACAATAAATTAGAAAACCTTCGGCGATGATATAGAAAATCAATAATTTATAATAGTATTAAACAAATATGGAATGGCTTGGCTTGAAAGGTCAGTAATTATTACACAATTAGGTGTAGTGCTGGCACGTGACCACGTGATTTCAGGCATGGCTTGTATGTGTTTAGTATGCCGTCACCATTCCCTACCAAAATAATAATAATAATAATAATAATAATAATAATAATAATAATAAAAATAATAAAATATTATATATATTGCAATTATTTATTAAAAAATATCTAAGATAAAGAAAGTATCACTTAACCCATCTTAACTCATCAATTTTATTTATCCAATTTTATCTCTATTTATACAGTTGTTGATGTAATTTTTCAACAAAAATAAAGTAAAATTCAAAGATATAGAAAATATCCTTAAACTTGATTAATTAGTGCCTGAGATTAGGAATCTCTAAACACTGTATGGTACAGAAAATAAACTGGAAAATAAAAGACTGAAATTTAAAGTGGTGATCCCCAAATCTGACTTTGCTTTGTTGAAGTTGATTGAAGATGCCTTGCCAAATGATGATCCAAATCCTTAAATATTCCCTGGGAAACCGTACTGAAAACCGTCACCCGACCGGTTACAACGTCTCCTTCTCAACCGTCTTCCAACCTTTCTTATGCTGACACGTGTCCCCAGCAGACCAAAATTCCCTATATTTCACTCCTTGAGCCGACCACAGACCTTCCGCTCTTTTGGCCCGACTTCGTCCTTCGTCCGACCTACTTCTTCGCCCGACCCCACTTGGGCCGACCTCCATATCAACCGCCCCCTGTCTTTGATCAAAGGCCTCCGTGTTTGTCCGACTCCTCCTTCTATCCGACCTACAGTTTACCCGACCTGCGGATATCCCATCTCAACGACTTTCCGTCTCGAGGACCTCCCGACTTGAAAACCTTCCGACTCATCGTCTTTCCGTCTTGCGGACCTCCCGACCTGAAAACCTTCCGACTTGAGGTCTTTCCGTCTTGCGGACCTCCCGACCGGAAGACCTTCCGACTTGAGGTCTTTCCGTCTTGCGGATCTCCCGACCTGAAGACCGTCCGACTTGAGGTCTTTCCGTCTTGCGGACCTCCCGACCGGAAGACCTTCCGACTTGAGGTCTTTCCGTCTTGCGGATCTCCCGACCTGAAGACCGTCCGACTTGAGGTCTTTCATCTTGAGGGCCTCCCGACCTGAAGACCTTCCGACTTGAGGTCTTTCCGTCTTGCGGACCTCTCGACCTGAAGACCTTCCGACTTGAGGTCTTTCCGTCTTGCGGACCTCCCGACCTGAAGACCGTCCGACTTGAGGTCTTTCAGTCTTGCGGATCTCCCGACCTGAAGACCGTCCGACTTGAGGTCTTTCATCTTGAGGGCCTCCCGACCTGAAGACCTTCCGACTTGAGGTCTTTCCGTCTTGCGGACCTCTCGACCTGAAGACCTTCCGTCCTGAATTTTTCTTAGAAATAAATAAATAAATTTATTTTCCTTGATTTCCTCACGGTGTCCTTCAGCCAGTTCAATCAACCCTATTGCCAGGCCCATTCCTCGTTTTACCTTGGGCTTTTAACCTAATTCTAAATTTCGTACGTAACAACTTGCCCGCCGCCAAGGGACTTTCAAACGCCAATAAATGTTTGGAAGTTCATAAAGCACTACCTTCTCGAGAAACTCCCTTAGCAACTACACCAGTTACTGCAACACTCCTGGTTTATTCCTTCTTCGCAATACAAGCCTGTGTGAATCACAATCCCAAAACACGAGAATCCCTTCAGCATACTACTGGAAGACTGGGTGGTCTCCTTAGCACGAAAGCTCTGGTTGATGATGCCATTCAGAAAAAGGAGGCAGAATTGCAGGAGCTAAGGAAAGAACAGTCTACCCTGGATAAGCAAATTACCAATGAACAGCATCTGCTTGAGAAGTATACCAAAAATGAGGCTGAATTGGATCAAGAGCTGAAAACCCAAGCCCGATCCCAATTCATCAGAAGATATCAGACGGCTGCCAATACCAGAAGGCTATCCAGGGATGAAAACAAATGGACACAGATAAAAACTGCCCTAGGGGCACTGTTGTAATATTTCCCCCTTTGTAACAACAACTGACTTAGTAATCCATTTTTTCTTTCTTCTCTCAAAACAAGGATCACCTTTCAATTCCCAGCTTTATAGGAAACGAACCAAACTCCTTCTTTAAAAGCACACTGTTTCTCACATTTTAAGAAACATATTCCCAGGCATATTTTAAAAATCAAAACACTGAAAGTGTGAACAAACATGGCGAATGACCGACCTCATGTTCCATCAAGCAACTGGGAGGGTGTTCTTCAACCCTTCTTTGTAGGTAATCACCCTATTGGAGGCCATGCAGAAGACTTGTTATATATACTCAAGCAACTAGACTTCAAATTCCGATTCTCCCAACGAGGTAGAAGAACTATTCATCGCGTCATCCGCCTGATGGAAAAAGTCATTGAGGGGTATGAACCTCTTCGTGACATCCTCAGCCGCATCCCTGATCTCCATCATCACATGGAAATGATTGAAAATCATGCAGCAACCATACTTCCAGACCTTGGTTGGGATAACATATTTTCCAATCAACGAAAAGTCTTTTCAAGATTGCGTACCATTGTTGACCGTGAACATCAAGCCCTAACAGACATGCAAGCACGTACCCACCAAGATCTAGATGACATGCAAAGCCAATGGGAAAGGTACCGACCAGACTTGGAAGATCTTATTGAAGAAGAACCAGAGCTAATATCCACTCACTGGGATGAAAAGTCTGATTCAGAGACAGAAAATTTCTCACAACTACACGATGACTAACAGAAATGAACCTTCCAGTAGGTTCGAACCCCCATAAATGGGTTCTGAATAATATGTGGTTTCAGGCAGTTTTGTTATCTGAAAAGGCAGGATAATACCTCTTCAGATATTTAGCATTAATACAATCATGTACTCTTCTACCTTCATGATTTACAATAATGAACGCGCCATTTCCAATATCTTTTTGAACAATGTATGGTCCTTCCCAATTCGGTGACCACTTTCCCAATTGATCAGTTTTCTTATATGTAGGAAGAATGGTCTTCCAGACTAGGTCTCCTTTTTGGAATGTCCTGTGAAGAACTTTCTTTCCGTAACTCCTTGCTCTGATTTCACTCTGTTTCACACTTCGATCTATTGCATGGAGACGGTTAACATCCAAATCTTCTAACTGCTGCAACATAAGTTGTTGGTATTCCTTTGTAAGATCACTATCAGTAAATTCTGTTCGGCCGGATGATACTCGAATTTCGGCTGGTAAAACAGCATCTTGGCCAAACGTAAGTTGGTACGGTGAGAACCCTGTGGCCGTATTTCTGGTATTTCTATGTGCCCATAAAGCCTGAGACAATAACAAATGCCACTTTCTTGGGTTCCCTTCAATCATCTTCTTTATAATCCCAATGATAATCTTATTTGCTGCTTCCGCCTGTCCATTGGCTTGGGGATAATAAGGTGAAGAATGATGTAACCGAACACCGAATTCTGCCAAGAAATTAGAGAACCTTTCCCCTGTAAAGACCAAGCCTTGGTCGGTTGTTATAGACTGAGGAATACCATATCTGTAAATAATTTGGTGCAAAACGAAGTCTATCACTTCTTTCTGATCCACATTTTTCAAAGCAACCGCTTCCACCCATTTGGTAAAGTAATCAGTCGCGACCAATATGAAACAGTGATGTTTCGATGAAGCAGGATGTATCTTACCAATAATATCCATAGCCCACGATTTAAAAGGCCATGGTTTTGCCAAGAATTGTAATTCGGTTACTGGCAAATGATTTAAGTTTCCATGTCTCTGACATTCCTGGCAGCCTTTTGCAAATTGTATGCAATCCTCAAAAATCTTAGGCCAGAAAAAACCCAAGCGATGAATGGCCCATCTCATATTGAGACCTGCCCGATGAGCTCCACATATCCCACCATGTACTTCTGTCATCACTTCTAGAGCTTCTTCAGATCCCAAGCATTTCAAAAGTAAACC